CAATCCCATTCCCGCTCCCATTCCCATTGTTCCTGCTGTTATTCCCGGTTATTCCCCTTGTTATTCCTGCTGTTATCCCCATTCCCATTCCCATTATTCCCTATCCCATTCCCATCCCCATCCCCATTCCCATTCCCATTCCCATTCCCACCATTCCCACCATTTATTCCCATTATTCCCACTCCCATTCCCGTTGTTCCCATTATTTCCCTTATTCCCATTATTCCCGTTGTTATTCCCGTTGTCGTTCCTGCCATTATTCCCACTGTTATTCCCATTTTTCCTGCTGTCATTCCCGGTTATTCCCGGTGTTATTCCTGCTCCCATTCCCATTGTTATTCCCACTGTTATTCCCATTATTCCCATTGATATTCCCGTTGTTATTCCCACTCCCATTCCCATTGTTCCTGCTGTTATTCCTGCTGTCATTCCCGGTTATTCCCATTATTCCCATTGTTATTCCCACTCCCATTCCCATTGTTATTCCCATTATTCCCGTTGTTATTCCCGTTGTCGTTCCTGCCATTATTCCCACTGTTATTCCCATTTTTCCCGCTGTCATTCCCAGTTATTCCCGGTGTTATTCCCGCTCCCATTCCCATTGTTATTCCCATTATTCCTGTTGTTATTCCTGTTGTTATTCCTGCTGTTATTCCCATTATTCCCATTGATATTCCCGTTGTTATTCCCACTCCCATTCCCATTGTTCCCACTGCTATTCCTGGTTATTCCCACTGTTATTCCCGCTGTTATTCCTGCTGTCATTCCCGGTTATTCCCATTATTCCCATTGTTATTCCCATTGTTATTCCCACTCCCATTCCCACTGTTATTTCCATTATTCCCATTGATATTCCCGTTGTTATTCCCGCTCCCATTCCCATTGTTATTCCCATTATTCCCGCTGTTATTCCCGTTGTTATTCCTGCCGTTATTCCCACTGTTATTCCCATTGTTATTCCCGCTCCCATTCCCATTATTCCTATTGTTACTCCCATTGTTACTCCTGCGGTTATTCCCGCTTTTATTCCCAGTTATTCCCGTTGTTATTCCCACTGCTGTTATTTTCATTCCCGCTGTTATTCCCGCTCCCATTCCCACTGTTATTCCCGCTGTTATTCCCGTTGTTATTCCCATTCCCGCTGCCGTTATTCCCGGTTATTCCCGTTATTCCCGCTCCCATTCCCATTGTTATTCCCGTTGTTATTCCCATTGTTGTTATTCCCGTGTTATTCTCATTCCCATTGTTATTCCCATTGTTATTCCCACTGTTATTCCCATTGTTATTCCCATTGTTATTCTTGTTATTCCCAGTTATTCCCGCTCCCATTCCTGCTGCCTTTATTCCCGCTGTTGTTATTCCTGTTGTTGTTATTCCCATTGTTATTCCCATTGTTATTCCCATTGTTATTCCCATTGTTATTCCCATTCCCGCTGTTGCCGCTGTTCCTGCTGTTGTTATTCCCGTTATTCCCGCTGTTATTCCCGCTGTTATTCCCGCTGTTATTCCGGCTGTTATTCCGGCTGTTATTCCCGCTGTTCCCGGTGTTATTCCCGCTGTTCCCGGTGTTATTTCCGCTGTTCCCGGGGTTATTCCGGCTGTTATTCCCGCTGTTCCCGGGGTTATTCCCGCTGTTCCCGGTGTTATTCCCGCTGTTCCCGCTGTTATTCCTGCTGTTCCCGGGGTTATTCCCGCTGTTATTCCCGGGGTTATTCCCGCTGTTATTCCGGCTGTTATTCCGGCTGTTATTCCCGCTGTTGTCTCTCACTTGGCCAGGGCCATCCCGTGTTTGTCCAGCTCCAGGTTCAGCTCCGAGAGCAGAATTCCGGCTTCCACCTTCACCTGCAGCTTCTCCTTGTCCACCTGCAACAGACGATTCCCAAAAAACCCCCGAACGTTCCCAAAAAAAATCCCCAAAAAACCCCTGAACGTTCCCAAAAAAATCCCCAAAAAACTCTCCTCAAAATCCCCGAATGTTCCCAAAAAATTCCCCAAAAAATCCCCGAACGTTCCCAAAAAATTCCCCAAAAAAATCCCTGAACGTTCCCAAAAAATTCCCCAAAAAAATCCCTGAATATTCCCAAAAAATTCCCCTAAAAAATCCCCAAACGTTCCCAAAAAATTCCCCAAAAAATCCCCGAACGTTCCCAAAAAATTCCCCAAAAAATCCCCGAACGTTCCCAAAAAATTCCCAAAAAAAAATCCCTGAATGTTCCCAAAAAATTCCCCCAAAAAACCCCCAAACGTTCCCAAAAAATTCCCCAAAAAATCCCCGAATGTTCCCAAAAAATTCCCCAAAAAATCCCCGAACGTTCCCAAAAAATTCCCCAAAAAAATCCCCGAACGTTCCCAAAAAATTCCCCAAAAAATCCCTGAATGTTCCCAAAAAATTCCCCAAAAAATCCCTGAACGTTCCCAAAAAATTCCCCCAAAAAATCCCTGAATGTTCCCAAAAAATTCCCCAAAAAATCCCCAAACGTTCCCAAAAAATTCCCAAAAAAAATCCCTGAATGTTCCCAAAAAATTCCCCCAAAAAACCCCGAATGTTCCCAAAAAATTCCCCAAAAAATCCCTGAACGTTCCCAAAAATTCCCCCCAAAAAAATTCCAAAAAACCCCTCAAACCCTTCCCAAAATCCCCCCAAAATTCCCCAAAAATTCCCCAAAAAACCTTTCAAACCCTTCCCAAAATCCCCCCAAAATTCCCAAAAAATTCCCAAAAAAACCCCCTCAAACCCTTCCCAAAATCCCGGAATATTCCCAAAAAATTCCCAAAAATCCTGTCATATTCCCAAAAAAATTCCCAAGAACCCCCCTCAAGCCCTTCCCCAAATTCCAGAATATTCCCAAAAAAACCCCTCAAACCCTTCCCAAAATCCCAGAATGTTCCCAAAAAATTCCTAAAAAATTCCCAAAAAACCCTTCCCAAAAATCCCAGAATATTCCAAATAAATTCCAAAAAAAATTCCCAAAAAATTCCCAAGAAATTCCAAAAAAATTCCCAAAAAAGCCCTCAAACCCTTCCCAAAATCCTGGAATGTTCCCAAAAAATTCCCCAAAATTTTTTTGGGGGATATTCCAAATAAATTCCAAAAAAAAATCCCCAAAAATTCCCAAAAAATTCCCAAAAAACCCCTTAAACCCTTCCCAAAATCCCAGAATATTCCAAAAAAATTCTCCAAAAAATTCCCAAAAAAATCCCCAAAAACCCCTTCCCAAAATCCCAGGACATTCCCAAAAAATTCCCAAAAAATTCCCCAAAAAAATCCCAAAAAACCACCTCAAACCCTTCCCAGAACCCCAGAATATTCCCAAAAAAATTCCAAAAAAATTCCCACAAAACCCTTCCCAAAACCCCAGAATATTCCCAAATTCCCTCCCTCCTCCGCTCCTGGGGTGGGAAAATTCCCGGGAAAAGCCAGCTCGGGGATTTCTCCGTCTGGAGGAGCCGTTCCCGGGCGGATTCCCGGGATTTCCCGGGTGTTTTTTCCCGGGAAGGCGGCGGTTCCCACCTGCAGGACGCGGTTGAGTTTTCCCATGTGGATGAGGAAATCCTGGGAGCAGGCGATGTCCGAGGGGGAGTGACCCCCGCCCAGCACCTTCACCCGCTTCTGCCGCCCCCGCGCCAGATCCAGGATCTGCCGGGATGGGAACAACACCGGGAATGGGAGACGGGAAAAATCCGTCACCAAAAACAGCGGGAATGGGCCGGGAAATCCATCCCAGGATCTGCCGGGATGGGAACAACACCGGGAATGGGAGACGGGAAAAAATCTGTCACCAAAAACACCGGGAATGGGCCGGGAAATCCATCCCAAAAACCAGCAGGAATGGGCCGGGAAATCCATCCCAGGATCTGCCGGGATGGGAACAACACCGGGAATGGGAGCCGGGAAAAATCCGTCACCAAAAACACCGGGAATGGGCCGGGAAATCCATCCCAAAAACTGGGAATGGGCTGGGAAATCCATCCCAGGATCTGCCAGGAGGAAAACAACACCGGGAATGGGAGACGGGAAAAATCCGTCACCAAAACCACCGGGAATGGGAGCCGGGAAATCCATCCCCAAAAACAGTGGGAATGGGAGCCGGGAAAATCCATCCCCAAAAACTGGGAATGGCCTGGGAAATCCATCCCAGGATCTGCTGGAATGGGAAACAACACCGGGAATGGGAGCCGGGAAAAATCCGTCACCAAAAACAGCGGGAATGGGAGCCGGGAAATCCATCACCAAAAACTGGGAATGAACCGGGAAATCCATCCCAGGATCTGCTGGGATGGGAACAACACCGGGAATGGGAGCTGGGAAAAATCCGTCACCAAGAATACCGGGAATGGCCTGGGAAATCCATCCCAAAAACTGGGAATGGGCTGGGAAATCCATCCCAGGATCTGCCAGGAATGGGAGCCGGGAATATCCATCCCCAAAAACTGGGAATGGGCCAGGAATATCCAATCCCAAAAACTGGGAATGGGCTGGGAAATCCATCCCAGGATCTGCCGGGATGGGAACAATACCGGGAATGGGAGACGGGAAAATCCATCCCCAAAAACTGGGAATGTGTACAGGAAATCCATCCCAGGATCTGCCGGGATGGGAACAACACCGGGAATGGGAGCCAGGAAATCCATCCCCAAAAACAGCGGGAATGGGCCGGGAATATCCATCCCTGGAATACCGGGAATGGCCCGGGATAAGCCATCCCAAAAACTGGGAATGGCCCGGGAAATCCATCCCGTTGTTGTTGTTATTCCCGCTGTTATTGTTGTTTTTCCCATCGTTGTTGTTATTCCCATTGTTGTTTTTCCCATTGTTGTTATTCCTGTTGTTGTTGTTATTCCCGTTGTTGTTATTCCCATTGTTGTTTTTCCCATTGTTGTTGCTATTCCCGTTGTTTTTCCCGTTGTTATTCCCATTGTTGTTTTTCCCATTGTTGTTGTTTTTCCCATTGTTGTTTTTCCCGTTGTTGTTATTCCCGTTGTTGTTATTCCCGTTGTTGTTGTTGTTCCCGTTGTTGTTCCCGGTACCTGTCGGAGCTCGTGGACGTTCCGGGGCCGGAAGAGCAGCTCGGGGCTGCAGCCGTAGGTGCCGGACCAGTTCCAGAACCGGAACCCGGATTCGCCCTGGACCTGCCGGGAGAGATCCCGAGGGATCGGGATCAGCCCGAGGGATCGGCCCGAGGGGATCCCAAGGGATCGGGATCGTCCTGAGGGGATCCAGGGGGGCTGGAATCCATCCCAAGGGATCGGGATCGTCCCGAGGGGATCCAGAGGGGCTGGGATGGATCCCAAGGGATCGGGATCGTCTCGAGGGGATCCAGAGGGGCTGGAATCCATCCCAAGGGATCGGGATCATCCCAAGGGATCGGCCCGAGGGGATCCAGCGGGGCTGGAATCCATCCCAAGGGATCTGGATCAGCCCGAGGGATCGTCCCGAGGGGATCCAGGGGGGCTGGAATCCATCCCAAGGGATCGGGATCGTCCCAAGGGATCGGCCCGAGGGGATCCCAAGGGATCAGGATCGTCCTGAGGGGATCCAGAGGGGCTGGAATCCATCCCAAGGGATCGGGATGGGGCTGGAGCTGATCCCGGTGGGATTGGGATCATCCCAAGGGGATCCAGCGGGGCTGGAATCCATCCCAAGGGACCGGGATCAGCCCGAGGGATCGGCCCGAGGGGATCCAGAGGGGCTGGAATCCATCCCAAGGGATTGGGATCATCCCGAGGGATCGGCCCAAGGGGATCCCAAGGGATTGGGATCGTCCCGAGGGGATCCAGCGGGGCTGGAATCCATCCCAAGGGATCGGGATCATCCCAAGGGATCGGCCCGAGGGGATCCAGGGGGGCTGGAATCCATCCCAAGGGATCGGGATCAGCCCGAGGGATCAGCCCGAGGGGATCCCAAGGGATCGGGATCGTCCCAAGGGGATCCAGAGGGGCTGGAATTCATCCCAAGAGATCGGGATCATCCCAAGGGGATCCAGAGGGGCTGGAATCCATCCCAAGGGATCGGGATCATCCCGAGGGAATTGGGAGCGGCCCGAGGGGATCTGGAAGGGCTGGAATCGATCCCGACGGGATCAGGATCATTCCCGGGGAATCTGGATCCCAGCCCATGGGGACCATGGAGATCCAGAGGGGCTGGAATGGATCCCAAGGGATCGGGATCGTCCCGAGGGGATCCAGAGGGGCTGGAATCCATCCCAAGGGATCAGGAACGTCTTGAGGGGATCCAGAGGGGCCGGAATCCATCCCAAGGGATCGGGATTGTCCCGAGGGGATCCAGGGGGGCTGGAGCTGATCCCGGTGGGATTGGGATCATCCCAAGGGGATCCAGAGGGGCTGGAATCCATCCCAAGGGACCGGGATCATCCCAAGGGATCGGCCCGAGGGGATCCCGGCGGGATTTGGATCATCCCAGGGAATCTGGCAGGGCTGGAGCCGATCCCAAGGGATTTGGGATAATCCCGAGGGAATCCAGAGGGGCTGGAGCTGATCCCAAGGGGTTTGGATTGTCCCGAGGGAATCCAGAGGGGCTGGAATCGATCCCAGGGGAATTGGGATCATCCCAGGGAATCCAGAGGGGCTGGAGCCGATCCTGAGGGAATTGGGATCATCCCGAGGGAATCTGGAGGGGCTGGAATCCATCCCGGCAGGATCGGGATCATCCTGAGGAAATCTGGAGGGACTGGGATGGATCCCAAGGGATTGGTCTGAGGGGATCCAGAGGGGCTGGAGCTGATCCTGGCAGGATCGGGATTGTCCCGAGGGGATCCGGAGGGGCTGGAATGGATCCCAAGGGGAACTGGGATCATCCTGAGGGGATCTGAAGGGGTTGGAGTCGATCCCAAGGGGATCGGGATCGCTCCATTGGCTCTGGATCCCATCCAGTGGGAAGCTGGGAGGGGGCTCAGTCCAATCCCTGCGGGATCGGGATCATTCCAAGGGAATCCGGAGGGGCTGGAACCGATCCCGGTGGGATCAGGATCATCCTGAGGGGATCCAGAGGGGCTGGAACCGATCCCAGGGGGATCAGGATTATCCTGAGGGGATCCAGGGGGGCTGGAGCGATCCCAAGGGATCAGGATCTCCCGAGGGGATCCAGAGGGGCCGGAATCCATCCCAAGGGATCCCAAGGGATTGGTCTGGGGGGATCCAGAGGGGCTGGAGCTGATCCTGGCAGGATCGGGATTGTCCCGAGGGGATCCGGAGGGGCTGGAATGGATCCCAAGGGGAACTGGGATCATCCTGAGGGGATCCGAAGGGGTTGGAGTCGATCCCAAGGGGATCGGGATCGCTCCATTGGCTCTGGATCCCATCCCGTGGGAAGCTGGGAGGGGGCTCAGTCCAATCCCTGCGGGATCGGGATCATTCCAAGGGAATCCGGAGGGGCTGGAACCGATCCCGGTGGGATCAGGATCATCCTGAGGGGATCCGGAGGGGCTGGAGCCGATCCTGGTGGGATCAGGATCATCCTGAGGGGATCCAGAGGGGCTGGAGCCGATCCCAGGGGGATCAGGATCATCCCGAGGGGATCCAGAGGGGCCGGAATCCATCCCAAGGGACCCAAGGGATTGGTCTGAGGGGATCCAGAGGGGCTGGAGCTGATCCTGGCAGGATCGGGATCGTCCCGAGGGGATCCGGAGGGGCTGGAATCGATCCCAAGGGATTTGGATCATTCCAAGGGAATCTGGAGGGGCTGGAATGGATCCCAGGGGGATCAGGATTATCCTGAGGGGATCCAGAGGGGCTGGAGCCGATCCCGAGGGAATTGGGATCGATCCAGGGAATCGGGAGGGGCTGGAATCGATCCCGCCCCAGGATCAGGATCGGGATCGGGATCACTCGGGGATCAGGATCGGGATCTGGATCCCATTTCCCTCCCTTCCCTTCCCCCATTCCCACCCAGGGCTGGTTCCCAAATCCCTTCCCAAATCCCCAAATCCCCAAATTCCCCATCCCAAATAATTCCTTCCCGAATTCCCAAATTTCCTTTCCCTTCCCAAATTCCCAAACTCCAAAATTCCCAAATTCCCTCCCCAAATTCCCAAATTCCCCATCCCAAATAATTCCTTTCCAAATTCCCAATTTTTTTTCCCTTCCCGAATCCC